CCATTGAATTTCACATAGCCTTGCTTTCCCAAAAGTTGTTCTCATCCAGGCACCAGTGGAATGCAGTTTCAACCTCGCATTGGTCTTATCAACAACCTCAGCGGGATTCGAACCGCGACAGTGCGGGACGGTAGATTGACACGCTAACCACTCGGCTACAGTGCCATGAGTAACCTTGAGTCACAGGGCATAAGTGAGTTTTAAGGACGGTCAGGCCTCTGCCATATCATATTCTTTGGTGGGAGTGCCCTGTCACTCAAGGGTACTCGTGGCAGTGTGGCGAGATAACATCGTCACAACAAAATTCAAGCTAAAGAGCAAAGAAAACTCATTGGCGAATCCCTAAAAAGCTCTCTACATCTGGCTTCTTTGATCAAGTATAAAGTGATTTGGTTAGGTAAGGTAATATGTCAACCACGATGCATGTAAGTAAGCTCAACAATTATCAAACAAGAGATTCCTCGAAACCCAACTCTTCTTCGCATATCTTCATCATCATCTTAAACGAACTAGTGTGAACACAGCTTAAAATTACGGATTCCCTCTACCCGACTTTTTTAACACAATGAAATGCAAGCTAACGTCACTTTATTAAGGGAGTCCTCGAAACGCAGCTTCTCATCACATCATATTTTTTAACTCCTATTTTCTTCTGGAAGCCTCCTTTGAGTGTTGAGCTGGTATTTATTTCTGAGCAAAGCGCGAGCTTTTGGGATGAAGAGCTTGACCGGTTGAACTCACCCGAATGCAACATCGACCTTCCAGTGTTCTGATGCAGAAATATTCATAATGAGTAGATTTTGCTACTTTCAGTAGATTTGGAGTCAAGGCTGTGCTCACCAAAGTTGATATAGAATTATGAAGGTGTGCCTCAAAAAAATTCAACTATAAGCTCTTCTTCACGTTATGCAAATTAACATGACTTCAGCCCTAATGTTGTAGATATATTTTGTTGTAAAAAATAAGGCTGACGCAGTGCTCGAGTCCGCTTTAATCGGTTTTGATGAAGAGCTGTTCAGTTCCCCACTATTGCTGTCATGGCTTAGGTCATTCCGCTTCAAAGCTACGCTTGTATGGAAGTGGTTTGACCACCTCTTTGCAAGTTGGTCATTATATCAGGTAGAGATGGATACCATGACTAAGTAGATAAGACGAGGTCAAATCTCCCGTGTCCAGCCAAATGACTATGCGACCAAAATGCAGGTCACACAATCTTGGTACTTTACCAGAACGCTTGAATAAAAGGGTTCTGTTAGCTATCTCTAATCTTTTCCGCGATATATACTTCTCATACTACTGAAGTGCCTGATTAGTAGTATCAATCTTATGAAAAATTAATTCCATATGCCCTCTAGAGCTTGGCAACCATGTTGTCCCAGCCTGTTCTTATTTGTTTCAGTGTTACGCCTGCCTTTTCTGCTTTCCATTTTTGGTGTGGCCGTCGACGGTTAGCTTCAAGTCTTTAACTCTTGGCTCTGTCTGGGCTTGTCAGCAATTCGACATGGTGAAGATGATATTTCGCCTATATTATCACGACTGTAATTGTCTGTCCTTTCATTCTTGCCAATCAGATCTTTCTTACTTTCTTCTGCGTATGTGTGTTGTACATAAGCGTCTTTCAAATGATCGTCAATGTTTGATAATCATGTTACCAATGCAACCGTCTGTATGCAGTTTGTCGTCATCAGCCCACTACACATGACCTTTCGCACTCAAAGGTCTTCCTGTGAGTCCAAGTGTGTTGGCATGGCTAGTTCGTGGTTGTGCCATTGTATCAGCGAAGCAGCGACATTCTGTAGGCACAAACTTTGACACATGAGGCACCGGTAGCAGCAATTTCCAGGCCGCCGAACGTCGGGATAGGCTCTGTGCGATGCCAATGCTGGGTAGGCGGTACGTCGGAGTAAGGCGTCCATCCATCCCCGGCCGCCCGCCTCGGAGACCCGGTCAAGTCACCAAGTCATGGGCAGTTTTACACACTTTAGCCTGGCAATACACCTCGTGCTCGGCCCAAGACACCGGCTCTCTTTCACACACCCCTGCCACTGCCAATCGGCCTCGACACACGTAGCCTAACCTGGACTCGTTGGCAAGACGTGCCCGCTCCCTCCACCTCCCAATCATGTTTCCACCCCTCGGGAGCATCGGTATCGGCCTCGACTCCACTGCCTCAAATCGCCCTACCTACAACTTTAACAATCACCCACCTACAGACATACACACATGCACATACAGTCGCACATAAACATCTACATATTCACACTCATAAGCACTCCCGCTCTCTTTATCTCTCTTTATCTCTCTCTCTCTCTCTCTCTCACTCTTTCTCTCTCACGCACACACACACACACACACAATTACGTACTCACGGCCTCGAGACTTCTGGTTCACTGGTCTTTATTTGCATCTTAAGCAGTCTGAAAGGGGTTTCCTCCAGTCCCAGCACTGTCAGTCTCCTGATTGCCCTCGCTTCGCTTTTGCTCGACTCGCCGTCCTTGCGAACCGCTCCTCCCTCACCTCTTCTTCTTACTTCTCCTCTCTCCTCCTCCTCCCCCGTCTCCTCCTTCTCCTCTTACTCCACCTGCCTCTTCAGCCTCGTATTGTTCATCCTGTCCGCCAACATTGCAAGCCGATAGCATTAATCAATTCATATAGCCTCTACTGCTCCTCCCTACCGAGCCGGGCTGGTGTCTCAGACCAGTCTCTGAGGGCGCGATGCCAAGACCCACCCCCTTTTCGGGCGTCTAAGCAACTCTTGGTCCTGGCCGGTCGAGCTGAAACGGCTCTACCGAACGGTCACCGGACAGTGGCCACTGGAGCTGTATGTCCGAGAGCCCAACCACCAGTTTGATCCGCCTGTTCGTCTTTCCGCATAGTCATGTTGCCGTGTTGCCATGTTGCCGTGTGCACAGACAAAAGCAGCGGCTCGCCTCTTGCTTCGTCTGTCTGTTTGTACTTGACTGTTGCTGCCTGCATCTGGACAGCGAGACATACAGCCAGTGCGGTTGTCGTACTCAGGACAGGTAGGACCTTGGATCGAGATCTTGCGGCCTAGGATGCGACCCCTGTGAAGTAGAGACCTTCCTCCAATCAAGATGCTCAAGATACGACGACCGGATCGGACTTTTCGTCCTTTTGATAGGGTTGCCTAGACGCGATCCGTGACGTCACGGGTGCCCCAGTTCCCAATTGTGTCCGGAGATTCGTGATAATGAAACGAAGAGATCACTTCTACGGTCTATGTGCTCCACTTTCGCCATACGAACCACTGTTTACGGCAAATGGCATCCCACCTCAGAGCTGGTTAACTACTCATTTGACTCATGATCAGAGTCCCATTTGGGCTGACAAAACCCAAGAAAATATGAGGTGGATAAGCCTATTTTTGGAGTGCTTGGGCAATATGATCTTACTGCAGTCCAACTCCTCGTTGACCAAAAATGAGTGATTTGGCTTTCTTATTCCTATCATACATTCTTGCAGATGGGGAAAGTCGAGATGAGGAGTGGTGCCACAAGTAATATCGTCTAGTGTTATAGGAAATATAAGATTGCTTCATCGACAATCCCACTACATAATGTTATATGGAAAAACAGCTGGCCTTTCTTGTGATTCACGTCTGCCCTGTGACCAAAGGACACTCGTTACAATGTAGCGAAGTTGTTAAAGTGTCAAGATTACACGCTGCACTCTCATGGTTCGAGTCCCACTGGGGGTGTTGATAAAACCTCAGCGAAGTCGAAACTAGAGTCAAGAAACACGACTGAATTTAAGTCCCGATTGTGAAAACCGTGGCGACTTTAACACGTACATGATAGTAATACGCGCTAAAGACGAATAGGGCAAATGTGCCAATCAAGGCAAGTGAGGTCCCGCCTAAATCACATTTTTCAAAATGGGATTGGCAATTAAGCCAACATATGTTCGCTATTGCAGTCGTCGAAGTTACTTATTTTGTGAATAAGTAGTGTTCGAGAGAATCCACAATTCCTGAATAAGTTCTTAGGCAGCCAAGCTGGCACTAGTCGACCGTCGGGCTTGTCAGCTGCAGAGACACCTCTTGCGGACCGGTGGCGCAGGATGTAGTCTCGGTTGGACAACACACCTGCTGTTTGGAAGGTCGCGATTCCGCCAAAGTGAATGTGCAATGCCGATCCGATTGAAGTAGGGGCAGCCAAATCGACGGATCACATAAACAATGCTGACTTTTATCAAAACTAGAATGTGTTTTTCCAATAAGAACTTTGCTTCACACAAATCATAAATCCAAGGCTGGCGTGAACTGATCAAGTGATTAGTCAAGA